GAAACTGGGATGACTACGTCTCGAGCGATTTCAAGCCGCGACCATTGGAGTTCCCGACCCCTTTCCCAAGGCCCAGTTATCTGCCCAGGACCCCTTTCGGTAGCTTTTCTCTCTGCGGGGCTCCATGGACCCTGCCATGATGTCCCCTGGCCCGTGACATCCAGCTATCTGATGCACTCGACCAGGACAGTAAGAATGCGCAGTAAGGATGCAAGGGCCTTGGAACGCCATGTTGGCGTTTTCCGTGCGGAGCGCAGCAGGATGCCGAAGGATGCCGAATACCGAAGGGGCAAGGATGCAAGGGCAGCCTTGGAAAGCTGCCCCATCCTTACTATCATGCTTGACTGTATTTTAACCCGCTGCCAGCAAGAAATCCCTACCCTACCCCTGGGGGTGAACTTCCCGCTCCGGGTTGATTTTCGATTGCCCCGGGGCCCGGGAACGGGCCCCAGAAGTTCAGCACGAGAGAAAACGCCGGGCATGAAACGATCATGTTGTCGAAGGTCTGGTGCTGTCGAAACGGTGGTCGGCGTAGGGGTGAGTGTCGGCGGCGTTCTGCGGCGTCCGCGATTTGCGGCGGTCAGAGCTGCCGCCGTGCCCGATAACAACATCGACGCCGACGACTAGCTGATCGACTGGCCGACAACGGCGACGACGAGAAGGACAACGACGACGACGAGGACAACGACGTCGACAACGGCGAGGACGACGACTGGCCAATGACGACGACGAGGACGACGACGAAGACGCCAACGACGACGGTGACGACGACGGTGACGATGACGACGATGACGACGAGGAACGACAGACGACGGACGACGAACGACGGACGACGGGTGACGGACGACGACGGATGACGAACGACGGTCGACGGATGACGGACGACGACGACTACGACGACGACGACGAAAACGACGGCGGCGGCGGCGACGACGACGACGACTGGCCACCAGCCGCGCGAGCTAAAGGCACTCGGGTGGGGTCTCCTGCGGCGCGGGCAGCAGCACCTGGCGGCTACCTTCACCGGTCGCCCTCTTTCTTCCTCCTAACGTTCCTTCTTCCCTCTCCTCGCACTCCTTCCCCTCCTTCCCTTCCTCCTCCTCCTCCTCCTCCTCCTCCTCCTCCTCCTCCTCCTCCTCTATGCCCTCCTGCTCCTCCTTCTCCTCCTTCTCCTCTTCTCCTCAAGCTCCATCCCCTCCCCCTCCTTCCCCTCCTCCTTCTCCTTGACCGCCGCCCCCTCAAGCACCGACTCGAGGCTTGTCCGTAGCAGTCTTGCTCTCGGAGTCTGTGCTCTGCTTCTTTCGTCGGGATTGGGGGGCACTGCCGCACGGGCGAATGCGGGCGAGGGCGATTTCGGCCTGGCACTGCAGCTTCACTGGCATAATTCATAATGTTCTCGCTGGGGATTCCTTCGATTATTCGTAAAGTATGACAATTTCGTGGTGCTGTTTCTAGGACTCTTCCCTATGGCTTTCGGGTTTCTATTCTACAGTGCCAGGGACAGGGGCCTGGGCTTCCCAGTCAGTCTGAGATGAGGTTTCTGCTGTTGCCGCTTCACACAAGCTTGGTGTGTACCCCAGACGTGTTGATGCACTTGCTCGAGCTTTCTTCACACACGTATTCACCTGTTTTCCCGGCAAACAATTTGTCGGCGCTGCTCTGTTCCCTTTTCCCCATGGTTCGCGGGCTTCTATTGTACTGTGCTGGGGTGAAGGCCTGGAATGCCCAGGGGAGCTTCAATATCCGCCACCATGCCTCGAGGCACGACGTGGAGTGTCCTCAGGCCCTCAAGGGTTCCGTGTTCTCTGTGCTCAGGACTGGGGGGCTCTAGTATTCTCGGGGCTGGGGGCCCAGATTCTCAACTGTTCTCGGCGTTCCCGTGCGCTCTCGCGCGCTCCTGGGCTCGGTCGCACAATTCTTTCCAGAAGCCACAAGGCCTCAAAACATGGTAGGAGGACCCCTAAAGAACTCCCAGGTGGTCTCCAAGACAGCCCAAGAGCGCTCCAATCAGGGTCCACGAGGACCCCAAAGGACCCCAAGGGGGTCCAAAGAGGCAACAAACATTGATGTTTCTTTTGTGTTTTATACGTTTTCGCGTTCTCGCGAATGCGGGCTTCCGACTCACCAAGATGGCACCAGAGGCTCCCAAGACCGCTCCAAGACGGCCCAAGAGGTCCCCGAAAGGGCCCCAAGACAATCCAAACGTGCACCAACAAATGCCCAAGATGCGCCCAAGATCGCCAAAGAGGGCCCCAAAACGGCCCCAAGAGGGGCCCAAGAGGGGGAACACGAACCGACAATCCGAGCTTTCTGCCCCAAGAGGCCCCATGGAGGCCACAAGAGGTCCCCACGAGAGCCCAACATGCCAACTAAAAACCCCAATCGGCTCAAACAGAGGTCCCCCAGAGGCTGCCAAACGGCCCCCAATGGTCCCCCAAAGGCGTTTAAACTTCCTCCAAGAGGCCCCCGAGAGGCCTCCCATGATATTCAAACGAACATCCAAGAGGCCTCTAACCCACAACCCAGGCACGGTTTCTGGATGGGCCGAAGGCCACTCGATAGTTTCGGCAAGCTGTTTGTCCTTGGCATTTTGGAATTCAGCAACACCGTTCTCATGTGCTGTGGCAAGGCTCCGTGTTTTTATCTCAGGGTATCGTGCATCGTGTGCCGTTCGTGTTCTCAAGTTTGTGGATTTCGCGCTCGTTGGTGTATTAAGCGGTGCTTTCTGCGATGTGGATGTGGCGCTGCGGTTTCCGAACATGCCTAGATGTTCTGCGTGGGCATCACCTTCCACATTCCATCAGATGTTGCGCGTTCCTCCCACAATTTGATGTGTTTCCGCTGTTGATTGCCTGGCGTGGAAGGAGTGAACATCTTCATGGTGGAGACACTCATCTGGCGGTATCAAGTTCGTGTTCAATGAGCACCCCGGCTGGCTCCACGGGTGGGCTTCCTGCTCTCCTTCGCCGAGTTGCTCATCGAGTTCAGGGGGGGGGCACGCTCTTTGTGTCACTGGGGTCCCTAGAATACCTCCCCCGCGTCCCCAATTTCCCCTCCTTGCCCTCATACCCCTCCTCGACGTCGTCGGCGCCAGCGCCGTCGTCGGCGGCTGCGTGCGCGCGGACGGCAGCGAGACGTCGTCATCGTCGTCGTCGTCGTCGTCGTTCGCAGCGTGCCGGCTCTGGGGCCTCCGCCCCCTCCTGCTGCTCGTACTCCCCGCCCCCACTCGGCCCATACAGTGATGCTTCTCCACCCGTTCTAGGGAGCCCACAGAGGACGTGCGCGCCCGGATATGTACATGAACACGGCCCCTCGATCTGCGAGACTGGCCGCGTTAAACAAATATTTGCGCAATGCGTACTCTCGAAACCAGCGTGGATTCATGTACGCGTACGTCCTTCTTTCGCTCCTGACCTTCCCGTGCCGTCCTTGCGTCGTGAAAGAAGCAGGACGCGACCGGAGGTTTTTTGGGTAACTTTCGGCCCCCTCGGGCCCAGAGAGAGGGGAGAGGGGAAGAGGGGGGAATATGGGAGACGGGGGAACGGAGAGGTGGAAGAGGGGAGAGGGGCATCCTCGGGGAGCGGGGGGGGAGAGGGGAGAGGGGGGGGGGAAGCAAGCTAGGTGCGCTCGCGTCATATCTGACATCCTACCCCTCCCTCCCATCCCTTACCATGGCGCAGATCCCCTCTCTACTCGCACAGTCGGATGTCGAGCAGGGCAATGATCCCGAAAGGGTACGCGATGCATTGTAGAGCACGGCATGGCATGGCGTAGAAGAGCACCGCAAAGCGTAGTATCAACCGAGCATTGCATTGCATGCCGTGGCATGGCACGGGAAATGACGCCAGCGCTGCAGCGGGAGCACGAGTCGAAACGAGCGGAAGCGCGGAAATGAGGCCAGCGCTGCAGCGGGAGCACGATTCGGAACGAGCGGAAGCACGGAAATGAGGCCAGCGCTGCAGCGGGAGCACGATTCGGAACGAGCGGGGCCCGAAAATGAGGCCGGCGCCTCAGCGAGAGCAGCATTTTGAAAAAAAATGCAGGCGAAAACCCAACTCCGGGGAAACCTGTGTGTAAAAAACAATACGCGGGGGGGGTCGGACACTCCCAGGCCGTCGTCAGGGGAAGAGGGAGAGTAGTATTCATATTGAGTAATTGTGGAGGGGAGGGGGGGAATAGGGAAGAGGGGAGAGGGGGGGAGGAGCGGGGAGAGAGGGCAAGATTGGCGCGCTCGCGCCATCTCTGACAGCAGGCCCCGTGGCCGGCACAAAGCACCCCGAGACGAACAACTGATGAAGAGAGGGGGTCCAGATCTTTGGAGGGACACTTTGCGTCACAGAACAGATGGACGCCTGTCCTCCCTCCCTCAATCGCTATCTTACTTCTAGATTTTCTCATCCAGCTCATTCCCCCGTCCTTCTCCTCCGCCATGTGTTTTTCTTTGTCCGCCAGTGGTTCCCCCTTCTCCTCCGACCCCTACCACCACGCCTATGCATGCTTCTGCTTATTATCCTCATCAGTCCCCTCCTCATCCTCATCCGAATCCTTCCTGTTTCCTGGTCCTCTTAGCCATTTCAGCCCCCTGCTCACTCTTCAAAATTAATTCGGCAGCAGGACCCGACATGCTAACTTCGGTAGGCTAGTCCAGAAGTAATCGTCATCGTCGTCCTCGCGATTGCAAAGGATTCCTCCTGGTCTCCTTTGACATCCTATGCTTCTCGCCCTGGCGGAAGCCCTCCTCCCAGTTGTAGTCTGGCATTCGCCATGTATGATTACTACAAGAATCCTGCACGTTGCGGTCAGTCCGTTCCCAACGGGTATAATCTGTCCGAAGTGGTTCGTGAACGGTACGAAGTGGTTGGGGTCGGTCTCATTATCCTCCCCCATCCTTCGGTACTCGTTTTCGGGCCCTTGTTGCAGCGGACAGCAGCGGACCCTCCAATCAACCCGCAAGGAAGACGCAGTGCCCACTCTTTGCTCCCTCCTCGCGGGCATCTTTTTGCTCGGCGAACCATCAGCCAGACGCTATGCTTTTGATACGTACTGCCAATCGCTTCTCGCCTCATGCAGCCCGTCTCTTCTCGGGTGCGCCGAAGAGACGGGTTAGGAAGGGATGGTCAGCGCAGCATGGCCAAAGGCATGTGTGCAGGCGAGTGGGGGCAAGGGAACAACTAGAAAGAAGACGAACAACAATGAGAACCACACATAATAATAAAAAGAAGAATCCGCCGGCCCCCTTGCGGGGCCATCAGGCTCCACGGCTTAGGCTTGCTGCCCCCGTCCGCCCGATGTTGAACTTCTGCGGTCTGCTTCATACTGTGAATGGACGAAGTCCGCGCGAGGGGGGGAACCCGAAAACCGCCCTGATTACCTTCACCTGGACTTGATTTCAGAATTTCTGGGGGTACATGGGATTCGCGCACCAGAAGCCATAATCCCTTGCAAATTCACCGGCATTCGCGCCCCCGAAGCCATAACCCCTAGCAAGTTACTCGATATCCGCGTCCCCGAGGCCATAGGCCCCCGCAAATTACGCCGTGCTGGTGCTCCCCAGACCATAATTCCTCACACGCACACACAGACTTATATATATAGAGAGAGAGAGAGAGAGATGCATGCACATCTTAATATACCTTTTGGTATACAGATATCTATACATCGATATGTATGTTATATATATAAAAACAGATTCGCGTCTCCGAGGCAAGATCCTTTCGTAAATTACGCAATGCTTGGGTCCCCGAAGCCGCGACCCCTCGTAGACTACGCGTTCTTGGCGCCCCCGAAATTATAGACCCTTGTAACGTACGCGTTAGTGGAGCTTTCGAGGCCACAATCCTTCATAAAAGGCCCCCAAGACGGTCCATGAGGCCTCCGAGAAGGACAAAGAGTGCTCCAAGACGCCCAAGATGGTCCCAAGACGGCCCAAGAGGCCCCCCAGAGCGCTTCAAGAGCCGACGCTGCTTCACGACGGCGCCCAGGCCTCACAGCACAGCTCTTGCATACCCCATTGTCCGAGAGAAGGGGCCCGCGGCAGGACGCGAAGACCTCATGGATAATACGAGGAAGAAGAAGGCGAACAACATAATACTAGTAAGAGGGATAATCATAAGAACCGTATTAATAAGACAAATGATAAGAGGGGAGCCATAGCATCTGGGAGATGCCATGGCCTCTGCCATGATATCCGTTAGCTCGTGATGCCCGGCGGTCTGCTGTGACTTGTCCACTCCGCGGACCAAGGAGGCCCCAAGTGCTTTCTGCGTGCCGGATCCGTGCCTGATTTCCGAGATCAGGGAGAAGCACGAGGATTGCACACATTTCGTATTGTCGGGGATCTGGGCCTCCCCCCCTGACTGTCCAGGAGGGCAAAAGGACAGCAGCAGAACCTCGGAACATGACCTCCAGTCGACGCTCGAATGAAGCGGTCCAGACAATTCTACTTGTCCAGGGGGTTACTTCCCTGGCGGGTTCCCGAAACCCTGAGCCCCCAAGCGCCATCTCTAGAGAGGGCATCTTTTACTTCCGCCGACTCCTGCCGGCGGAGGCAGCTCAGCTGCACCTCCGCAGGCCCCTCCCCCGCCCCTCCGCCGCCCTCCGCCCAGGAAGAGACGCTGGCCCATACTCGGGAGCGGCCAAGAGGGGGGTGTCCAAGAGGGGGGGTGCAAATCATGACCGGCGGCATGTGCGCGGCCCAGCGGCGGGGCCAGAGACGTAATGAAATAAGAAGAGGCGCCATGACATCTGGGGAAATATCATGGCCCCCGCCATGATATCCCCCCCCCCCCCTAGTCATCACCCCCCTCTCTTCCGCTCCCGACATACCTCGAGGGCGAGGCCCTCTCCGGACGCGCCAGCTCCTGGCACTCCACCGGCCCGGGGGCCTCTTCGGCGCCCCCCGCTCGCGGGCGCTGCCACGCCGCCCTCCGAGGCCCCCCGCGGGCGCGGGAGCCGCCCGCGGGCCCGCCGCAGCAGCAGGCGTGTCGCCTCTGCTTCGGGCGCGGGAGGCGGCGGAGGAGGAGGAGGAGGAGGAGCGAGGAGGAGCGAGGAGGAGGAGGAGGAGGAGGAGGAGGAGGAGGAGGAGGAGGAGGAGAAGGAGGAGGAGGAGGAGGAGGAGGAGGAGCGAGGAGGAGGAGGAGGAGGAGGAGGAGGAGGAGGAGAAGGAGGGCAGGAGCGGCCCCTGCCCCCCCCCAGCGAGATCGCACGAGGGCTCGCTCGCGTTGCCAGGCCGCGGGGCGAGAGCGGCCTTGGAGGCGCGACCTGCCGATCGCTGCCCGCACTGCGACGGGATGCAGAGCAAAACTCCTGGACCCCCTCGCGTCGGGCGAAAAAGAAACGGCGGGATGCTTGTGTCAATCCTCGGCTCCCAGAGGCCACCGCCGGGACCTGGGACGGCCAAACATCGGCTCAGGATGAAAAGCCGGCCCCAAGGCAGAGGTCCAGACCTCTGGGGGTCCACGTCAGGCACTCATCATGGCGTCGGGGGTCTGGGAGCCCTCTGGCGCGCGGCACTGCCGATGGATGACGCGACAGGTTGCCTCATAAGCCATGGCCCCCACACCACCCCGCCCGACGGCCCGTCCTGGACCCCCCACGCACACAGAGCCCACCCCCTGACGCGATCACCCATCATGCCGCGCGAAGAACGACCCATTGTTACCCCGGCCCGGTCGACCCACTCCCCCCAAACGATGTTATAGAACAGCTCGGAGTTGCCGAGTTCCCCGACCGGAGCCTGAGGCAAAGCCCGAACACCAGAGGCACACCGCGGCCCTTGCTTCAGCGTCTTGGCAGCAGCAGCCTGCGAGCTTGGTTTCCACCCCCCCGTCCCCGCGGCCCCCCACAGGCTGAGCACCACCAACTGCCACTCCAGCAAGGGTCCTTCCTCCCTGGGATTTGACGTCGCGAGACTGAGGGTGCAGCGTCGCAGATAGCAACTACCCGAACCCTCGACGTCGTCTTCATGCGGCACTTCTCGAGCCCGATCAAGGGCCCCAGGGTCCCAAAATCAGGCCTCCAGCGGCCGCTCGGGACGACTCGGGCCCCCCCCCAGAACGCTCTTGGCGAGTCGCACCTGCTGGAATGCACGACGCGGCAGGAAACCTGCCAGGAACTGACGAAAACGATAGAAACGTTGAAGTCCCGATCCCTTCCCGAGGCGAGCTTTCCCCCTGGATCAGTCTGTTTCCCTGTGGCCCAGTGGCCGAACGCCTGGATATATACCTGGCACACAGACTACAGCGTGGAGGTTGCGGCGCCGACGTGGTCCGTCCAGCCGAGACGGAGCAGCCCCCACCTGCTGCCACGGCGGGGGCACTGCGCGTTCTCGCCTGGGCTCGGGGCCTTGGGCAGCTCACCGCGGAGGCGTGCCAAGTGCACCTCGGCCCAGCTGGGGCCCCGACTTCTCAGCCAGAAGCGCCGAGAGATTGGAGAAGATCACAACGTCGGAGATCCCAGACCCTCAACGTGATTTGTTGACAACGACGAAGGCACCCTTTAGGTCTGGACCCGCTCCTGAGAACCGCGCTGTCATCCTGCGAGTCGTTCCTCGACGGTCCGGGGCCCCGCAAGGGACCCCAGAGGCGGGAAAGGACAGCACACTTTGCACATGTTTTGGAAGGCTGGGACCTGGGATCTGGGCTCACTGCGACCAGCTGGTCGCTTCCCCGACGCGGCGGACGAGGATGATGACGACGACGAACGACCGACCCACAACGACGACGACGACCTCAAGGGACGACCGACCGACGACGAACGACTGACTGACTGACTGACGACTGACCGACGACCAAGTGACAGAACCAATCCAGAGATCCAATGTCCAAATGCCACCAGCCCTCTGGGCGTAGGTGGTCTAGAGCGCTTCCCGTTCCAACCCTATTCTTCCCCTTCGGGGAGGAGTTGATCCCTCCCCTTACCCCCTCCCCTGGACCTTGACGGGGGGTTCGCAAGTGGTCGGAGCGTCCAAGATAGCCCAAGAAGGCTCCAAGAGGGCCTCACAGAGCCCAAGATGACCTCCAAGATGGTTCAAGATAGCGCAAGATGCCTCAAAATGGCTCCCAACATGCTCCAAGAGGCCCCAATAACGTTCCAAGACGGCTCCAAGAGGCCTCCGAAACCTCTACGGAGGCCCCCAAGAAGCCAACATTCTTCAATATGATTTCTGCATCGTCGCCCGCTCGCTTTCGATAGCCTTCCGAGGCCTCGGGATGGCTCCAAGATGGCCCAAGAGGGCCCCAAGAGAGGCCCAAGTGAGCCCCAAGACGGCCCCAAGAGCGCCCAAGAGCGTTCCAAAAGCGCCCCAAGAGCGTCCGAAGATGCGATTACTGGGGTTCCCGAAGGGGGATGCGAATTGAAGCTCCCCTCTTGTTTGATCGATGTCTTCCAAGATGGCACCAAGAGCGCCCCTGAAGCCCCCAAGAACACCCCAAGAAGGCCCCAAGAGGCGCCCAGACGGTTCCAAGAGGCTTCCAAGAGGCTCCCAAGAGACCCCCAAGAAGCCTCAAGAGGATCCCCGAGGACCCAATAAGCTCAAAGGTGGCCCTGAGCCCGCCCAGATGCCCCCCAGATGCCTGGCAAGTCGCGACCTGTGGCAGGCGACCTGTGGTACGCGACCTTCCGTTTCATGGTACGCGGCCTGTGGTACGCGACCTGTCGGTGATGGTACGCGACCTGTGTGGTACGCGACCTTGCCGGGTCGCACTTTGGCCGTCCAGATCGAGGAAGTGGGAGGAGGGAGTAGGACGAGGCGAGGCGCCCAAGAGACCCCACAAAGCCCCCAATAAGCTCCACATAAATCCCAAAGGTGCTTCCAAGAGGCTCCCCAAAAATGCCCCAATACGCTTCAAGATGCATCCAAGACGACCCAAGAGTTTCTAGGAACCGTCACAACGTTCCCAAGACGATCCAAGGAGCATACAACCGCTCCAGAGATATCCTTGGAGACGCCCCAAGAGAACTCCGAAACTGCCGCAAGAAGCCCAATATGCCCCCAGAAGACTCCCGAGAGAGACCCACGAAAGCCATGGGAGACCCCCAAGAAGGCCACTGGAGGCCCCCAAGAGCGCACTAGATGGCTTCAGAAGACCTCTGAAGGGCCCCAACTCCCCAAGACGGCCCAATAAGGCCACAGGACGACCCAAGAGGGCCCCAGCACGGCCCAAAAGAGCCCCAACAACGCCCAGACGGCGTCTTCATACGAAGTACATCGAGCTGACCCGACGATCTTAGTTCCACGCTTGAGGCTCGAGGTTTAAGTTCCTCGAACGAGAGCGACAGGCAATGGATCTAGATTCGAAGTTCGACGATCGAAACTTTCCTGCGTGCCTGGAGCCCTCCAGGCATTCAGGAAGCTACCAAACATCGCATCTTCGGCGTGTCATGGGAACGCTCCGTACTTCCTCAAAGGACCTTCGCGCGTGAAGGAATCTTCATCTCTCTTCTTGGGGGTTCTGGGGGGCTCATGAAGCTTTTTAGGGCCTCGTGGGGGCTTTTGGGCGCCTCTAGGGTGCCTTTAGGTGCCTCTTGGGGGAGCCTTGGATACCTCTGGGGCGCTCAGAGAGCCATCTTGATTGGGTCCGTCCCCTGGTAATTTGCTTCTGGAGGGTCTCTTGGGAACCTCTTGGGCCAGGATGGGGGCACCTTGAGCTCGAAGACGGCCCAAGATCGCGTCAGGACGGCCGTTCATCGCCTCTCCTCTCTGGAAGCTTCGGGATCGCCACGAGTGCCTCAAGGCGTCTGGGGACAAGGATCTTGGGGGCCTCTTGGGAGCCTCTTGGGGCTTCCTGGGTGCCTATTCGGGGCCTCTTGGGGGCTCTTGGGGGGGTTCCTGAGGCCTCCTGGGGCCGTCTTGGGGCCGAAGGCTTGAACTATCCGTTCGGGTACCCCCTCTGGGCACCCTCTTGGGGCCGTCCTGGGGCCGCCATGGGCTGTCTCGGGGACCTCTTGGGCCTTCTTGGGGCTCTCTTGGGCCGTCCTGCAGCCCTGTAGGAACCTTTTGGGCCGTCTTGGGGCGATCTTGGAAACCTCGCGTGCCGTCCTGGATGCTCTGAAAGCTCCAGAAACGAAGATCCTTAACATATGAAATTTCCGATCGGAATGGGGCTGTTCTTGCCTTTTGAAGCCGTCTTGGGGGCCTCTTGGGGGCCTCTTGGGGCGTCCTGGGGGCCTCCTGGGCCGTCTCGAGGCCATCTTGGGCGTCTAGGAACGATATCTCGGCGACCTCGGGCCGCCTGGGAGCCATTTGTAAGCCTGCCGCATGTGCCCGGGGGGGCGAAGAGCCACCCAGGGAAGGGGCCAGAGGCCGGGTACTGAGATCAGGGCTCCCCGGGGCCCCTGGGACCCCATGTTCATACTCAGATGTGCATGTGCACTTGCGTGCAGACACACAGTCAGATGCGTGGCATGCCTATATAAAACTATAGGGCTCTATTGTACACTATAATATACTATCAACATGTAGTATGACGTTCGGGAAAATAACAAAGCATAGTCCATAAATAATGTCAATCATACAAAATGATGCAAGTCTCCAAGCGCCGGTCGCCTCTCGCAGGCGGCGGACGTCTGCCGCCAGCGCCCCGAGGCTCTGGGCGGCCTCGGTGCCGAGCGGGGCGCCCGCCTCTCGTTCGGCGGCGCGGAGGGCGCGGTCGATCGCCTGTAGTGGCGGCCCTTTCCGCTCCTTGTCCTCGTCCTCCTCGTCCTCCTCGTTCTCCTCGTCCTCCTCGTCCTCCTCTTGCTTCTCGTCCTCCTCCCCCTCTTCCTCCTCCTCCTCCTCCTCCTCCTCCTCCTCCTCCTCGTCCTCGTCCTCTTCGGCCTTGTCCTCGTCTTCCTCCTCCTCGTCCTCCTCGTCGGTGTCCTCGTCCTCGACCTCCTCCCTTCCCTTCTGTTCTCTCCTCTCCTCTCCTCTCCTCTCCTCTCCGCCCGAAGGGAGACGTTGGGGCCAGCGCCTCGGGCAACGGTGGGTGGCCGCGCGTGCCTCCACTGGGGGTCCGGCAGAGGGGCGAGTGCCCCCGGCACGTGCCCCGTCCTCAGGGGCCCGTCGCCCCAGTCGGCGACACTGCGAGGGGCCCCCGAGGAACCCGCGCCTGACGTGTGGCCTCCCTCGCCCGTGTACAGGCGGACCTCCGTCGTGCGCGCTGCCCCCCCCCCCCCTCGGTCTCCACCTACGCGCTGCCCCGCTCGCCTACCTCTTACAGGTCCCTTGATGATCGTCCCACGGGCCCTGTTCTTCAGAGCGCCCAAGCGGTCCCGCTCAGTCATGCGCTTTCTTGGGGCCGACGCTCAGGGGGGTCCGGTTTATGAGGGCGCCCTTGGCGCATGCAGTGCCACACAATGTTCGCGCACGCGGCGTGATCGATGCTTGTGCTCGTGACCAGCAGCCCTCGGACTGCTCGTGACCACAAGCCGTGTTTCGGTTCTGCTGTTCCTTTGTTGTAAGGAGCGGGATTGGTGCGCTGGGGTAGGGCAGTGATCTTGAAAGAAGAATTAAAAAAAACAGTTCCAGCATGACCAGGAATAGCCAAAAGAGCAAAGAACTCGCCATCATACGATTTGTCTTACTATCCTTGAGTACTTATTATTCACCCCTCGGCTTCACGCAAGAGTGACCCTGGGCAAAAGTGACCTTGGGTGCGCGGCTTTTTGGGGGCCGCGAGAGGACCAAACCCAAGCGCGCACGACGCTACTGTCGCACCGCACTCGGCGATCGGGGAGCCCCACTGGGCGCGCACCAAAGGCCACTCCGGCGAAGGGTCACTCTTACGTGCAGCCGACTCCTGTAGAGGGACATGCCCGACTCAACCCCAGAGGGCCAGCGCGCCCCGGCCCCTGGAGCGGCGGCGCTCGCACCGCGGCGCCCGCGAGGCGGCATCGCCCGGCCCGGCGCCGACAGAGCCGCCAGAGGCGGGCGCGAGCGCAGGGGGCGGCCGCGCGGCAAGAGCAGCTAGGCCTGGGGCCCAGAGTAGGGTCGGCGAGCGCGTTCCACTACTCGCAAAGTAACTACTCGCAAATGGCCTGGATGCCCCGCGGGGGATCTACAAGAACTTACGTCAAAGCAGACAGGTGTTTGTCGGACGCTTGCGAGTAGGCACTTTGCGAGAAGTGGAACGCGCTCGGCGATAGGGGGCAGAAAAGCCAACCCCATGATGATCACCGCAGCACGCGGAGCCGTTTCGCAAACGCGCTCAGAGAAGGAATCGAGCAGGGCAAGGCTGTTCAGGAAGCGTTCAGGGTCGTTTAGGACACGCCATTTGTCGGGTCCGGGTGGTTTCTCCTCCCTTGATAGAGGGCCCGCCCCGTGCACGGCCCCACTGGTCCACGGAGCGGTCCAGTCCACGATGGCCGCCACGAGCGCGGCCCACATGGCGCAGCCAGCATCGCGCGGCATCCCCCCGACGTGCTGGGCGCAGTCTTCTGCCCGTTCGAGCCGTACAGTAAGAGGGGGCGTGGCCCGCGTGCCGGTACACCAGCTGGCGCGCGAGATGCGTGGCAGCAAGGCGCAGGATATCGACGTCGGTGAATGCCCGCCAGCGTGCTCGTGTTAGGCTATAGCCCGCTGGGCGGTCGGCGCGCCACCGCCAGCCCGCTGACGCCCGGCGGAAGCGGCGCGAGGTCCCACTCGTCACGGGCGGCGGCTGCCCACCGAGCACCGGGAGGACCGAGGGCACTGCGGGCACTGCGGGTCCAGCGGGCAGCGAGCCAAGCAGAGGAACATGCCCCTGGGCGCTCGAGGCACGCCAAGGCGGCAGCGTGCGCTGCGACGGCTGCGACGCCAAAGTGGCCGGCCGCGCGCCGGGCGCACTCGCGGCGGGCACCGCGGCAGGATGCCCAGGACCGGGGGCGCCGTCGCTGTGCGAGGAAGTCGCCGCTCACGGGCCCCTGCGTTGCCCTGCGGCCAGGATGCCAGGACTGCGGCCGCGGGACTTTGTGCGGAGCCACCGCGACCACACGCAGGGCCTCGGCGAGCACGGGGTCGAAGAAGCCGCCCGCGAGCCCCAGGACGTGGAAGACCTCGGCCAGTTCCAGAGGGCGCCCCAACTGCCCGAAGAGGGCAGCAAGCGCGGCATGCCCGAGCGCAGCGGCAGCCAAGGACTGCATGGTGAAAAGACGACGTCCGACGAAGGCACCGCGGGCGCATCAGCAAGACTCGAGCCTTCGCCCAGGCGCGCAGGGCGGCCCAAAGGCTGCAGGTGCGAACCACTCTACCGAGGCCTCCGCTGGCAGGAAGCCGACGCGCGCTCGGGCACGACGGCACTGCGAGATCGCCCAGATGCCAGAGGGGAAGGAGGGGGAAGGGAGAGGAGCGGCCGCGGGAGGCGGGGAGGGAAGCGATGCGCCACGGCACGTGCTGCGTCTCTGCGGGCCCCAAAAAATATGCACCACCACGTCGTCGACTCCTCCTCCCTCCTCCACCCTCCTATATTCCTTCCCTCTCTCCTGGGGGGGGGAGGGGGGGGGGGAGGTGGCGGTGGTGTAGATCTAGTTGGGCCCCGCAGTTCCAGCACGGGCGCAGCAGGGCAGCTGGGCCCACAGTATCGATCGGGCCCGCAGGGGGTCCGGGGTTCGCCCGGTGGCCGCGGGCCTGCACCGCCGCGCCGCGGGAGGGGGCCGCCCGCCGCGAGACCAGCAGCTCCTCGGGATCTCACACGGAGCAGCCACTGGGGTCTGGAAGGTGCTGTGAGCTTTGAAAGCTCACAGCTGAAAGCTCAGCTTTCTCGTGCCAGGCGTCTTCGCACGGCTTCGGGCCCTAGGGCCACCACAGACCTATACTCCTCGAGGGCGCAGCAGAGAGGATAAGGGGGTCTTGGACTCCAGTCGTGGTTCCTCCCGATGTTGCAGCTTTCGCCCCGGCACAGCGCAGACCCAGCTCAGCCAACTTAGGAAAAACGTCGCTGCAATTGTTTGGGGGTCGTCTCATGCCAGGCTCTTCAAGCATGTACGGCCACCTCCGGGGCCGCAAGCAGCTCCCAAACCCAACCAAAACCCGGCATTCCAGGATCCTAGAGGACCTACCGCTCTAGCTGAGCCTTGTTTGCACTGAACCCTGTCGCCTACGCCCAGACGTCCTCGCGTCGTGGCCAAACGTTACGGCGGCAAATGTTTGACAATGTTCGGCCTCTGGGGGCCCTCGCTTGGCCCCGGGACTGTCAAGAACTGGCCTGGGAAAAAGAAAACGGCCCCAGGGAAAAGGTGCAGATCTCCAGGGTCTCACGCTGTGAAAAATACCCGACGTCGGAAATCTTGGTACCAGTATTAGAGGACAGGGAACGACACCGAGATCATTGGATACAATATTGGCTTGGTCACGATCGATGGCGACCGATCGGTACTCCAAATCGATGGCAACTCCCCAGAACCGCCCCGCAACCGATCGCGACCGACCGTGATCGAACGAGGGAGAATCAGAGGGAGAAGAGGGAGGGGAGAAGAAGAAGGAAAAGGAGGATGTCATCTGGCAATCGTCAGGGCAATGGTCAGACGTCAGACGCTGGTCAGATGCGCAAGTTGTGTCGTCGTCGTCGTCGTGTTGCTGTAGTCGCTGTCGTCGCCGTGCCTCCTCCTCGCGATAACTCACAGCAGACTAACGTCTGACGTTAGGCGTTTGCCAGACGCAGGTTCTTCCCCCCTCCCTCCAGCCCGCTCGGTGCGAAAGATGCGAGATCGATCGTGACCGAATGCGGCCGATGCTGAAACAACTCGGTCGCGACCTATCCTGGAATCCGAAGCAACATCGGGAGCGACCGATCTCGCAAGTCGCGACTATATACTCTGGTAACCAACGGTCACGGCAAGGGGGGGCTGGCTCCCCGATATCAGAACCGCACGTTCCATGGCAAGGTGGGCTATACAGACCGCGATCGGCGATGAATGGGCGATTGGGGGTCGGCATTCCCCCTCCCTGAATCTATCCTCCCCCCTCTCTCTCGCGCTGCCCCTGGCATTGCCCGACTGCTTGAAGGGACTGCATGCCGGCACTTGGCCAGCACTCCCAGCAGAAACACTACAAGAGGAGGTGGTCGTTGCCTTAAGGGCAGGGGCGGCCTTCCCTGAAATGCTCGGGCTTCGCACCGTTTTCAAGCCGGGCGTCTTCTACCATCCTGGGAGGCCACATGCGAGCCCTACCCCAACACCCCACGATTTCGAAGGGGGGGGTCATTTTGCTCGGGAGGTCCCGAACGAAGTGAACCTCACATCCCCCCTTCGAAATCCTTCGTGGGGTTGTGGGGTAAGGTTCGCAGGTGGCCTCCTACATCCCCAACCCCCACCGAGGAAATCTTGGCCCCGTTGCAGGATCTACCCCCACCCCGAATGGGGATGGTGCTGCTGCCTCCCGACTCCGCAGCACCGTCCCCGACTCGAGGGTGTACGATGGGAGAGCCGACCTTACCATGTTCCTGCCCGGGCTGGGATGGTTCTCACGAGGAAGAGCTCCAGCGCGTCGGCCCAGGGCGCCAGCTCGGCCTCGCTGGCGCGGCTGAGGCAGACGGGTCCTGCAAGGCCCTGCATCGGGAGCGGCCAAGAGGGGGGTGTCCAAGAGGGGGGAGTGCAAATCATGACCGGCGGCATGTGCGCGGCCCAGCGGGGGGACCAGGGACGTCATGAAATAAGAAGAGGCGCCATGAAATCTGGGGGAATACCATGGCCCCCGCCATGATATCCCCCCCCCTAATCATCACCCCCCTCTTTTCCGCCCCCGAAAGGCCCTGCACCCCGGGGGCTCCCCCCCGGGATCAAATGGAGCGGGCATCCAGCACGCGTCTCGCGCGAGAGGGCACAGCGACCCCACGCCGCAGCCCACGCGGGGCGCCAGCGCGGCACGCCGCCCGGGAGACGAGGGCGCCCGCGCGCGACCTTTAAGCGCGGGCAGCCTGCGCGCCCGTGCCGGCAGAGGACGATCTCGTCCACTCTCCGTCGCTCCGCTCCTCGTCCTCCGTCGCGCTCCAGCAGCCCAGGGGGCCGCGGAGGGCCCCGGGAGGCCAGGAGCGACGCAGGACCTCAGGACCCGCTCCCCCTCAGGACCCGCTTGCTTCCCTGACCCTCCAGGAGGGCAAAAAAATGGCACGCGACTTAAAAACCGATCCCAGAGCTATTCTATGTCTTGTTTTTTTAGGCTGTTTCGTTTCGTTTTTGTTAGGTTTTTAGGCCTCCCGTGCTAAAACATAGCGCTCTGGAAGGTCAGGGTTCACGGGGGGGGCGGGGGCCCTCGGGAGGCGCCGCGCGGGCGCCCGGGCCGGCCGCGGCCTGCGCCCGGCCTTCCCGCGAGCCGCCGAGCCGCACGGCGGCGTCGTGGGGCAGGACGCCGACCTGCGGGGGCCGCGGCAGCGAGGAGTGGCCGGGCCAATGGGGGCGGAGAACGCTGGAGCCCGCACGGGCGGTGCGTCGCCGACCGGTGCGGGATACAGTCGGGGCGTTGACCTAAGGAACCCTAATAAATAAGGAACGAAGCCCTTTTTTTTCATAAGTTAACCTTCGACTTGCAACCAAAAACTGCAGGAAAACATTGGGCAAGGTGTGGAACAATTAAGGAACACCGAGCCCCTCCCCAACGAAAAGGGTTCCTTCTTCAGCGCCCCGACTGTAGGGCCCCCCGGCAGCAGCACCGAACGGTCCTGGGCGGGGTGGGGCCATCGGGCCCCCCTCGGCGATCCCGCGTGCGCTTGGGGGGGCGAGGCGCTTCCCCCGAAAGCCATTTGGCCTCTTGCGGGCCAGCCGATCCCGATCGATCCATCGGGGTCGGTCGGCGCCTGCCGCCCGATCGATCGCGGTGGCAGGGCGCATCGCGCATCGGCCAGCCCCCGAGGCCGGGCTCACGCGCGCCGCGCGCCATCATCTGCGGCAGGGGGCCACCCGTGCCTCCCTGCTCCCTGCCGCGGGCCGCGGCGCTTGCGGCCGCGCTGCGGTCCACCCCCCCCCAGCGGCGGGACGCCGCGACAACGTCGAGTAGGAGTTCCAGAGGAAGCTGCCCACCGCCGCGAGAGGCAGCAGAGGGCCCAGGACAGGCTCCTGCTCCGCTTGCGAGCCGCGGCCGAGCGCCTGGCCACCCACCACTCTGCCCAACCAACGATGGCTCGTGATGGGAAGGGCAGAGGCAGCGGTGGCCGCAGCGGCAAGGGCCAGGCTCAGGAGGAGGCAGCATCGGCAGCGGCGCCACCATGGCGCCAGGAGCGCTGGCAAGGCGCGAGCTGGCGAGATCAGCACTGGAGCGCCGCGCCTGCAAGAGAGGACGCGCCCTGGCGCAGGGAGCCGTCGCGGCCACGCCGCACTGGCCAGGCCCGTCCTCACCCCTGGCAGCAGCAGCAGCAGCAGCAGCCCAGTCCGCACCCCCGGCAGCAGCAGCAGCAGCAGCCCAGGGCGACCAAGGGCAGACAGGCCAGCTCCAGCAAAGCAGATCAACGGGCACAGAAGGTGATCGACTCAGTGGCGGCCTGCACGCTGGACGAGGCCACCACGCATCCAAAGTGGCAGGCGCCTCCAGCCGACCGAGCAGGCATCCAGAAGTTCCTGAGCAGTGCCGACCAGAGATTGAGGAAGCTTGGCGACCTGGTCGTTGCCAAGCAGGCGGCGGGCGACTACACTAAGGAGCAGCTGATGGAGATCGCCGTCATCAAGTACCAGAAGCTGGTCACGAGGAGGCCGAATGACCAGCTGCAGGTGCTCAGCAAAAGGCGCAAGGCCCTCAAGTTGGAAGTCGCCGCCCTCGAGACCAAGATGAACGAGGTGGGGGGCGACCACAAGGCCGAGCAGCAGGAGCTGAGGCAGGTCGAAACCAACATCGCCGACGTACGTGCTGTGCTCGCCGACGGTGGCGCGGCAGACGACGAGGGCGACTGGGGCACGGACGGGTTCGGCTCGGCGCCGAGCTGGGATACGTTCCACAAGGCCGTGATCGACAGGCGCCTGAGCAGCGAGGCTCCTGGTGACGGACCGCCAGCTTGGCCAGCGGGAGCGCCAGGGCGCACGCCACGCTCAAGAGCCAGCTCGGCAGGCAGCGCAACCAGAGGCTTCGCTGATCAGGTGGCCAAGGCGAACGCGGAGAGAGCGCATCAGCAGCATCGCCATGCCGAAGCCGAGCAGGAGTTCGCTGCCGAGCTGGCGGAGTTCAGGAGGGTGGCCCGCGAGCAGGCGCTCCGCCACAACGCCGAGCAGGCGAAGCTCAGACTGGCCTTGAAGGAGGAGTCAGAGCAGCTGCAGCGCACCACCGAGGCGGAGAGCGCAGCGCAGCAGCTGCAGCAGCAGCAACACAAGGCCCTCCGCCACGAGCTCAAGAAACAGCAATCCGTGCAGCTCGAGTTCGCGACGCAGATGGAGGCCAGGCTTCTCAACCATGACGCCGCATACAGCCACGCCAAGTCTGAGGCCGAGGCGGAGACCCAACGTGCAAATCGCCTGCTTAAGCAGCTCGAGTGTGCCCGTGCGGAGCACCGCGCACAGCCACAGCCCCAGGATAAGGTCTACCAAGACCTGATGCGGGCACGCGCCGAGGCGCAGGAGGCATGGCAGCAGGCCCAGCACGAGAACGCCAAGGCGGCAGCTGCTGCTGGCACCCACAGGCAGCAGCTCATCAGGCAGGAGGTGATCATGGAGGAGAAGCTACAGGAAGCCAAGAAGGACCACATGCTTGAGCTGGAGGCCGCAACTGAGTCAGCCAGGGTCCAGGCAATCGCCCAGGCCCAGGCCGTCGCCAATACCAAGGGAAAAGGAGCCCTGCCGCCGGCAGAGGCGGCCAGGCTGCAAGGTATTGTCCAGACCGCAGCAAGACAGCAGGATCGGCTCAAGCAGACCAGGAGCGAGCTCGAGGCAGCTGAGGCCCGCATCCACGAACTCCAGCAGCACTCCAAGCTTGAGGCAGGGGCAGCACAGCGTGCAGTCCAGGTCGCCTACCACGAAGCAGCGGAGCTCAGGAGTGCCAGCGAGGAGCGGCAGGTCCCGCACGAGGTGCAGGCCCTGCAGTATGCCCTGCTAAGGACCAGAGCAGAGAAGGAGGAGATAGCGAAGGCCAGTCTGAAGGATAAAGAGGCCATGCGTGCGGAACTTGAAGGTAGTGCGGAGCAAGCACGATCGCACCTCACCCGCCAGGTCATGATAGAAGAGGCGCACGCATATGACTTGCAGCTGCACGCCGAGAGCCTGCGACAGGAGCTGAGCAGCTACGCGATGCAGCTGAGCGAGCAGAGGTCCAGCGCGGAAGTGCAGGAGCAGGCGCTGGAGGAGGAGCTCGCCCAGGCCCTCACCTTCAGGATCGCCAGCATGGAGGAGGCCTCCGCCATGGAAGTCTTTGCCAGCCAGCAGAGGACTGGCAGGGAGGAGGCCATTCATCTCGCTCTACAAGACAGCCTCCAGCGCTCCCGCACGCTGCACGCCGAGCTCGACGCCATCGCGCAAAAGGAGAAGCATGGCGCATCCGAGACAGAGGAGTTAAAGCTAAGGCTGCTGAGCCTGGAAGCCATCGCAGCCAGCAGAGAACGTGAACGCAAAACCATGGTCGACCTGTACGCCGAGATGAGGCAATACGGCCAGGAGGGCTACGACTTCACGAAGAGGGCAGCTCATCACCTCGTCCAAGGAGGCCACCTCCCAACATCCCAAGAGTCCATGGGCGACTACCAGGAGGCCGCCGGCCTGTACGAGAAGGCCAGAAGCACAGCCGAGGCAGCCCCAGCTCCAGTGAGGTCGCCCACCGCGGCCCCTCTCCCAACTGGTGCAGCTGAGGAGCGCCCAACCAGTGGGGGCCGCGGGCAGAACAGCGCCTCGCCTCGGAGGCCCACATCCGCCAGGTCAGTCAGATCAGCAGCTCGCCAGCCCGATGAAGGCGCTGAAGCACGCAACGAGCGCGATAGGTCCAGGAGCCCTGGAAGACCCGACCCGCACGAGGAGGCAGATAGGCATGAGCATGAGCAAGAGGATTTGCGAAAGCAAGACGAGGAGGCGAAAGCGCAATGGGAAGCCGAACAGATGGAGGAGGAGCTGGAGTCAGTCGTGAGGGACCACGAGGCGGGGGAGATCGAAAGGTACTACTACGAGGAGGCTCCAATGACCCAGTACGGCCCTGGTGGTTCACTAGACTCCCAAGTGGCTGACGACTGCTCGGAGCACGCCCCGATGATCTACCCCGCCAGCTGGCCGCCCTGGAGCCAGGATCAACCCGCACCCGAGGAGGACGAGGAGATGGGGGGAGCTATGCAGCATGAGGCAGACACGGACCTAGCCTCCACCTCAAGGGCCAGCTCGATACCAGCAGAGCAGGGCGACCCTCCCACTCCGACTGCATCTCAGCTGATCTACATCCCAGCGTCGCCAGCGCCTCCGAGTGAGAGATCTCTCACGCCCACAGCACCCATCGGGAATGAAGAGCAGGGCGGCCAAGACGGCAGAGAGGGGGCCGACAGCTTCGTACTGACCCCTCCCCCTGCCTCCCAGCAGAGCGCGGAGGCGGCAGCAGCCAGCATCGAGAGGCAGTACGAGGGCATCGACATCCTCACGCGCCAGCACACCTCAGCCGCCGCCGCAGCTGCAGCCCTCGAGGAGGCCTTTGGACCTGCGCCAGCATTTCCAGGAGAAGACATCAGTCAGGCTTTCAAGGGTCAGCGAGTAGATTCGGGAGAGACAGGCATAGCACGTTTTCGTGGCCGAGTGGCCCGCAGGAGGGACGAGGCAAGGGACACAGCAACCCCCTCCCCTCCTGCATCTCCTGGAGCCGAGGAGCTGGCAGCAGCAGCACCCGCCGAAAACCGCGAGGGGGTTGAGGCGGCCTAGCAGCGCCGCCAGGCACCAGGATATGCATGACAGAATTCATGGCCAGGAGGCGGCCGATGAGTCCGACTGGGCAGAGCACGACGGTTGCGGGCTTCCTTCACGCTCTCCGATCAGTTCGACAGCATCGATCTCCTGTGCAGACGCGGGGCGAGCAGCTGGGGCCCAAGGGCTACAGTGTACGGCAGTGGGGTCTTCCACTACGAGGCTCAACCTACCAACCCTCGGCGGCCTGAAAGCACGGCGAGCCCTGGGGCAATTTGCTTCAGCCGTCTAGCAAGACATATACCAGCAGAGATTGCGACAGTTTCACCTACTAGAGCGACAACCCCCAGGAGGTCAGGGCCCCGAGGGGCCACGACTCCAACTTGGGATGCTACAGTAGCTGGCGCTCGCAGTGGGAGGATGACTCCCAGACGCAGCAGCCAGCAACTCGAGTGCTCCCAGTCACCAGGGTCTCGAGGGGCCAATGTGACACCACCGCGGCCGGCACGAAGGCCGCCCGCCGCGTCTCGAGGGGCGCCAGGTGGCATCGCAGGAGGCACGCTACCATGGAGGAGTGATGCAGCCAGCAGTCAGTCAGTACCTCAGGTCACAAGCCACCGAGATGGCTGCAAGGATGCGTTACCGGCTGCCCTTGCACAAAGGGCGCCTCCCTCCGCCATTCGAGTTCACGAGCTTGAGGACGCTGACAGCATCTTTCTCGACGGCCACAGCTTGATTGGCAGCGAGGCGGAGGTCGGCACAGAGCAACTGAATGAGCAATGGAAGCGAACGCGAGCGCGGCCTTCCGATCAGCCCAGCGGCGAGCACGGCGTGCACGGCGCGCTTCCGAGCGCCACAGCGGCAGGGAGGACCGCAGCACTCACAACCAGTACCGAGCCCTGATCATGGATCACGGACACAGCGCCCACACCCAACCCACCCACGCCAGCGACCACCAGCACCGAAATGAGCAAGAGGGCGGCCCAACTTGGCGGGCTTGCACGGGGTCCCCTCACACTGCAAGGCCGCTGACGGGCGGATCTGCTCCCCACAGGATCGAGCAGATGCGGGACCCCTCCCCCTTACAGGTGCGTAGGCCTGGCAGCAAGCCTCCGTCGGGAGGGTGGTCGATGCCTTGCTCCCAGGCCAGGGGCGCCGCCCATGGGCGCCCGAGGCGGGACCCCAACGGCAGCGGCACAGCTACGAGCACAGCGTGGAGACCAACGCCTCGGCCCTCACCAAGCAACGGTACACGCAGCAACCCACCCAGTCCCACAGCAGTGCCTGACGAAGAAGCCAACCCTACCCTTCCCAACACCCATGCGCTGGACCAGCGCCCCAAGCCCCACCACTCACCATCAGAGCAACCTCGCGACGTAGCCGAGCCCAAGCAGCGCATCGTGCCTACCAGGACCTGTCCACGTCACGTTGGCGCGCAAGCGCGGGGTCGCCTCACGCTGCAAGGCCGCCGACGGGCGGACCTGCTCCCCAGCGGGTCGAGCAGCTGCGGGATGACTCCCCCTTACAGGTGCGAAGGCGTGAGGGCATGCCTCCGACGGGAGGGTGGTCGAAGCCTTGCTCTCGCGTCAGCGATGTCGTGCTGGGGTGTCCAACCAGGCCCAGCGACCACCAAGCCATTCCAAAACCCCCATCGGCTCCAGCCCCGACCACCCCACGCAGTCCACCGCGACCAGCCAAGTGGAGGCCAACGCTCCTCTCGGCAGCAGCCGGCTCCCACCACGGTGCGAGCGCCACAGACCACTCCGACGCCACCGATGGCAAACCTCATCGTCTACGTGACAGCATGCTCCACGCCCAATCACACGAGCTCCTGTTCAGTCAGGCCGTGCGGGCTGGATCGGACAACTTGAACTTCGATGAGGGGCGTCGTCAACCGTCACCACCACCTCGGGAGTGGAGTGCGCTTCGGGCTGGCGCCTCACCCTTCACCCCAGCCGACCAAGCGGCGCCACAGCTACCTTCAGCCCGCGCTCCCAGCCCATCAAGCCCCACCCCACGTGGCGCGGGATTAGCGTCGGCCGACGACGTCGAGTACTCCCCTGAGTACGTCCGATCTGAGAGAGCCAGGCGCGGCCGAAGGCAACGGCAGCCCTCCACTCCGACAGCGCCAGACAGAGGCGCCCCTGCAGTGCTACCAGTCCTTAGCCACGACTCAGTAGCAGAGACCCTACGAGGCCGAGGCCGAGTCAATGTCTGCGCCGAAGTCGACACCACGACCCTCCACAACATGGCAAGGCTAGCGCTGGAGATGTGCCCAGCACGTGAGCTTCCGACTAAACGCACGCACATCTACACAGACGGCAGCTACAACGGCATCCCACACACAGCAGCCTGGGCGGTGATCATTGTCGACGAGTACGACGACGGGCGCAGCTCACGAGGCCCGTTCGGTTTTCGGGGTTTCGTTGCTGGCAAGGTCACCGAGACTCTACGCGACATGGCTGACAACGAGAAGGTGACGGCATATACGGCTGAGCTCACGGCAGTGCTGTGGGCGCTCATGTGGGCCCTCGGTCAAGACACCACCGCCCCCATCGAGATTACGCCTGACGCCCCCAACGTCATCAACCTGGCCAAAGGAGATGCCCAATGCCACGTGCATCCACGGCTTGGTGCCGCCATTCGGTCTCTTGCTGGCCTCCTTGCAAAAGCTCGACCTACTCAGTGGCACCACATTAACTCGCAGATTGGCCACCCTTGGAATGAACTTGCAGACGGAGTAGCAGATCAAGCTTCGACCACCGACCTGATGGACCCGAATCTAGCAGCAGCGCAGGCGATCGCGCACAACAAGTTTCTATCCTGGGAGTGGTTTCGCTCAGCGCCTGAGGACGTCAAGGCCGCCTACCCTCCCATGCGCGATCAGGCCTTCATCATCGGGGCCACCCAGCCGCAGGCAGCCCCCAGTGCTATCCAGCGGCCCATCAGCACGGCCACCATCAAGGCCGACCTCAGCTTGAATCTGTGCACCTACAACTGCAGATCACTCAAGGCCGCCGTCAACTTCAAGTCGGGCAAAGGCAAGGCGGCCAACAAAAGCAGGCAGAGCATCTCCAAGGTTACACACCTGGCAGCACAGTTCTCGGACATGGGCCTCCACATCGTGGCCCTCCAGGAGACGCAGAGCGACGGAGACGTCCGCAACGTTGGAGATTATGTCTGCTTCTCTGCAGGCCATGCGCAGCAGAACAGAGGATGTGACATTTGGCTCAACGTCTCCCAGCCGATCAGCGTGGGCGGGGTCGCGAGGTACCTAAGCGCCAAGGAAACCCTCGTCCTCCACCAGCACGACAGGCTCTTGGTCATCAAGACCCGCGTGGCAGGCACTGACATGGTCATCGCCTCCGCGTACGCCCCCCACGAAGACTCCAATTGAGCTGAGAAGACAGAATTTTGGGATTCCGCCCAGCGAATGGTCGCCAAGTACCACGTGGACATCTTCATGGGGGACCTGAACGGGCGGCTCGGCGACTACGAGTCCCCAGGAGTTGGCACCAGTGGGTATCCTGAACCCACCAATGGCAACGGCAAGCACATCATAAGCTTCGCAGCCGACACCGACATGGAAGTCATCAACACTACGAAGGATCCAGGAAAAAGTGGGCCGTCAGCAAGACCACCAGGGCCTCAGGGCCGCGGCCCGACCTGACCAACCTAAACAACGATGACGCCAAGGCTAGATTCAAGGAGATTATCAAGCAGGCCCCGACCATCCCCTGGGAGGTGGACGTCAACACCCACTGCGAGGAAGTCACCAGAGTCGTCAACAACGCGGCCATCCAGGCCTTCGGCAAGGCCGTCAAGACAGCTCGGAAGCCCTACATCACCAAGACCACCATGGGCCTCATCCGAGCCAGGCGCCTCGCACTTCGCGTCCATCGTGCAGTGCTCAGAGGAGAAGCCCATGACGACCGACCTGGCCGACTAGTGGCCCACGCCCACTCCCTTCTTGGAGGCGAGGTCGGCGCCTCATTGGCCCTGTGGAGCACAGAGCGCGGCGACGACGACGGCACCATCCACGACATCCACTACTATGCGCACCTCCTCCTGC